CAAACCTTGGGCCTTTAGCGTTGCTAGTCGAGCACTGCACTGCCGAGCTACATCCCCAGCCCTGAGGTCTGTATTTTAATTTCAGTGTTTTTGTGCTCATTGGAAATATATATAAGAATAACTAATTTTTCTACATGTACCTGAGTCATGCAGTCTTGCTAAATGACTAATTCTAAGTTTTGTTATAGATTCCGTGGAATTTTTTATGTAGACAATCATGTCATCTCAAATAGGGACAGTTTTATTTCTTCCTTCCAATATGTACACCCTTTATTTCCCCTTCCTTCTTGCTTTAGCTACAACTTCCAATAGCCTGTTGAACAAGGGCAGTGAGAGTAGACATCTTTGCCTTTTTCCCAATCTTAGGGGAAAAGCACCTTAGACTCAGTATTAATAGAAGGTAGCTGTAGGTTCTTTTGGATACCAGCTTTTTGCTGGTTTGATTTTTAAATTGGTGCAGCAAGTTAACTTAATAAAGAGGAGCAGTCCTGATGGCCTAGAAAATGGTCAGGTGGTTTGTGTGACTAATGGCTCCAAGGGTTTATTTTCCTCTCTCAAAATTTTTCTGCCACTCTGAATGAAATTTAGTAGTCAAACCCTTATTGTTTTGAATAAAGGCATTTTTAAAAAATGAAAAAAAAATCTCTTAAAAGGCCTAAGGTTTTCTAGTGCTGTCACTCTTACCTTTGTGCATAGTTTGTTTCTTTTCTCCTTATCCAACCATAGAAGGCATGGGATGGGTGGGAGAAGAAAGGAGGCACAGATTTTGGAACAAACAGTGCCTCAGCTGGGCACCAGGGGGGTGCTAAGTGCCTTTTCTAGCTGAAGTACAGACAGGACTCTCAAAAAGGACCTGAAGCTTAACTTAACCTTTAAAAAAGTTGACATGATTTTTTATATTAAATAACTATAATTTGAAAAGTACAAAGTGCATTTGGGAGGTTTGTTTTGTAATTTGTTTCCCAATGACTCTGCATTTGTTAATGCCGCCTCCAAAGTGCACATTGTAGCAGCAGAAGCAGTCTGCTAATGATAGCCCTTTTGTCAAGAATGACAGCGTATCATTATTTTACTTTCAAAACTAGGAGATGATATAACACCATGTTATAAGAATGAAGCACAAATTATATTTCACAAAAAAACAGCTTTTACTTTCTTCATTTGGAAACATAATTACAATATTTCATATCTTCTCAAGTCTCACAAAAATGTCCTAAGTAATTAGCCCATATAGACACTAAAAATTTAAAAAGGTTATTACATTTTTTGTTTGCAATTTTGCTTATAGAAAATTGTTTTCAATTTAATGGCGTTGCGTGCAGTACCCTTACCATAGTTCATCTGGGGGTTCTGGTTGCCCCAGCTGAAGTCTGGAGCCATTCTTGGGGGGAACTATTATTATAGTTTTATTGTTTTTATTTCTAGGTCATAATGAATATCATTTTTTTCTTTTTTGCTGAACTTCTAGAAAACCTCTTCTCTGAAATGATTGACTCACTTATTTCAATTTTTCGTCTTTTGATAGCTATGATTAATGTTATTTATTCTAACAGCTTTCACAACGTGAAGTTTAAACTATTTCTGTTTTGTGCATCAGACTGCAAATATATTCTGTCCTTTAAGGATTTTCTTTAGATTAAGGATAAGGCCCTTTTTTTTAGATGCAGGGCAAGAACTGTGATTAGTAAGCAAAGGTTAAGGAGGAAAGTGTTTTGGAGTAAGCGATATAATTTTCAAATTGATGAGGAGGAACCAAAACTCTAGATGGGCAAAGGAATTATGATAAAAATACCCATCTGCTCTGAATTAATTGAGATCTCTTTACTCGGGTGAATTATTTTCCTGGGAGATGATAGTGGCATTGAATGGGATCACAGAACCACTCTTTATTATCTTTGAGGACTTGTAGAAAGAGAATAGTACATAAACCCTGTTCCATGTATGAAATGCCTATAAATTATAATCAGTGAGCTTAATTTCAATTCCAGTCAAGATTTTAGAATAGATTGTTAAAAGGTGGTTTGTGAGGCTATATTACCCCAAATGATAACTCTTGGACCAATTTTATATTAACAGGCAGCATGTAGATCTTGCCATTTCATTTTTTAAGACCCAGTAACTGTATTAGACATAGAATACATGGACTTTGTGAAGATACTTGATAAAGTTTGTAATATTCTTGAAGAAAATGTGAAGAATTTTAGGCTGTTTATGAAGATAACTGGGTAGTTTAACAATCAGATGAAGAGTTGTACCTGGAATGGACTGAGTAATGGATTAGTGTTTGCCAGGGTGATATGACATGCTATGAAATTCTAGCCTCAGTGTTTTCATATCAGTGTTTCTAAATCAAAGCAATAGGTGGATAAAATGACTTATAAGGATCAAACTTGCAAAAGACACAAAGCTGAGAATTTCTGGATACCAAACTTAACAAATAAAGGTTTAATCTAGGTATATATCTCATGATCTATGATCTCTCTATATGTTTAAGATTATATAAGAGAGATATTTACATTTATAGTTCTGTACTTGGATCTGAAAAGCTGAATGCTCACATCATAGAATGGGAAGTATTAATTTCAAGGAAGATGTAGCTTAATGTGGAAAAGAGAATAGTGGAAGGAGATTGGGCATGGATCCCAAGACAGCCAGGTCTTAAGAAGGACTAAGCAGGGAACTGAAAAGTCACTAGGCATAAGACAGTGACTGGTTCCATTTTTGCTTTCTCTCTCTCTGGAGCCACAGTGTTGCCTTGACTTCTCTGTGCATTCGTCTGCTCATTCTTCCGTTTCATTCAAGTACTGTGGCTTACTCTAGGTCTTGCACATGACCCTCTCCCTTATGGTTACTGCAGAGGTAACCCAAATGCTTGACTCGTCAACACTTACAGACATAGTGGCTTATCCCAGCCTAGACCTTGGTTCCTTTGGGTCCAGTGTCTAATTCTGGTTTATGAACCAACCATGGCTAGGCTGGATGGGTAGACAGAGTCTTAGTCTCATCTCATTCCCGCCCAGAACAGCCAAGGCTGTGGAAAGTGGTATCAGTGAGAAGGAAATTATTGGCATATTCAGTATAATGAGACATGGGGTTTGCACTGTAGTATTTTTTTTTAAAACGGGGAATTGTTTATCATAAAAGCTAGTTGCAGTACATAATAGCAATATAAAATTGCTAAAAGTAAAATGAGCAATATATTCTAGGGTAGTATTTGAAGGTATTAGTAATGATATTACTACTGAGACTTTAGAATAAGGGATGTTTGAGTCCTCTCTTATTGTGTTGTAAGACCAAAATATTCAATTCTGAAATATTCAATTCTGAACAACATACTTTGAAATGCATAGAACCTTTAAACACACTCAGAAAATTATCTGGAATGAGAAAGAACTTCAGAAACATTGTATGTGGGAAGCAGTTAAAGGGATTGGAGGTGTTGATCTGGAGAAACAAAAGCATGACATATTCCAATTAACTGTCTTCAAATATTACAGAGACCTTGGTGTAAAAGGCTGTTGGTGTTTGGGGACATTCTGCATGGTTTCTAGGGGGTACAAGGATTAGTGTATGCTCTGGGGTGGCAGATTTGGAGCAAACATGAGAAAAGGTTTCCTGAGAAACAGAAGTGTCAGAAATAGGACAGCCTGCTTTGGAAAGTAGTTTCCCATCCTTTGGAATGTTGAAACATGAGCTGGACAACATCCAGGCTGGATGAACCCACCTCAGTGAACCTGTTCAGAGACTGAACCATATTTCTCATGATTTCTTTCAAACCCTGATGTTTCATAAATCAGTGACAGAGGGGTGATGTAGGCACTCACATTTTGTATTATGATTTTAATTTGAAGTTTTTATTATTAATATTTAAATTAGTCTGCTTTTACTTATTAAAAATTTGTTATTACTCTCTTTCTGCTGACATTTGTTTAGTAGCGTTGCTAGGTGGTACTGCTTAGTTAAAGGAGCAGCTTCTCTTGTCTCAAGGGAGGTTGCATGAAGAATATAAGTACTTCTGAAATCATCCAAGAGTTGGTTTCACCTTACTGCCCTAGAGCAAATATTTTATGAATCTCTCTCTTAACCCTCATGAAAAGTAAAACAAGCAGAGGCTGCTCGAGGAATCTTCATACTTGAGACTAAAAACTGACTTTTTCCTGACTTTACTGAAATGTCATTTTTCACTGGCCCTGTGCCGTCAGAACCCCAGGCACAATTCATCTGAGGGAAGTAAGGGGATTTAGCTGACACAGAGGGTAGATAATATAATACAAATGGCTGGATACATAAAAATACTGGTTTTAAGAGTTTTAATCTCAACTTCTCCACATATCACTCTGGTTATTTAATGTCACTAGTCTCCGTTTTTAATCTGAAAATGGGTATAATCATATCTATTAAGGGGACAAGAACTGGTCAAGGGAGAAATAGTTAAATTCAAAATGTTTTTCTATTTATAGTTTTATGACAGACTGTTAAATTCTGTAAAAATCATAAAATGTTGAAAGTGAATAAGAATCTAGAGTGAATAAGAATTTCATTTGGTTCAATGCCATAATTTTTCAAATGAGGAAAATAATATCTGAAAAAGCTAGGAGGCTTTTCCAGGATCAAAGAGATGATTGGTGGTGAAAAGGCAGTGATTTCTTCCAACTTTATGGAAAACTCATCTTAAAACAAGAATTGTAGAGACATTTTCACCATTTTTAGTTTTATTTTATGGAAAATATTTCAAGAGAAAATCTTTCCTAGAGATATCACAGAGACTCTTCTGTAGTTCCAAGACTTTTGTCTCTTTAGAGTCAAGACTTTTGTCTCTTTAGGTTTTAAAACTTTATCCAGATGTGGGTAAATACAGACTGTCCTATACTCCATGGTATAGGACAGTCTGTATTTACTTTTCTCTGACCAGTATGGTTGCAATATAGCATCTTCAGTTGAACTTTATTTTTCAGGGCTAAAACAATATCATTTCTGTAAATGTGTGTTCTATTTTCTAGATGTCTCCTGAAGAAAAGGTTTGCAAATACTGTGGAGTCAGCTATCTAATTCTTCATGAATTTAAGGCTATGGAAGAAAAAATGAAAGCAATGGAAAAAGAGATGAAATTTTACCAAGAAAGTGTAGAACGTGAAAGGAGACTTCAAGAAAAGCTGCAGTCGCTTAGCCGAGACTTTGAACAGTACAAAATTAACAGTGAATCCAAAACAGAAAGGTTGGAATGTTTTTCTTCTCTATCATTTTTTAGTTTCAAAGAAAGTACGGAAAACAGATTTTGATGTTTTTCTAGAATTTCCTTACCAAGTATAATTTACACTTGAATATAGTTGAGTGGTCATTAATTATATTAATAGTTACTAAATATAATTATTAGTTTGAAGCTTTGTTCTGAGGAATATATTTACTATCTGAATAATTAGAAACCAATTACTTTGGTAACTCTTAAGTTGATGGATCATTTTTTCCCCATACATATACACATCTTATTTTTATAGGAAGATTTATTTATTAAAATTCAACTTTTGATACCCAACATTTGTATTGAAATGGCTTTGGCTTTTAAAGCTTAATAGAATAAGGACTTTGTGTTTTGAAAAGAATACCAAGACATTAAAACTAGTACATGATTTTAAGTTATTGAAATTGGAATAAAATTGAAAAACAAGATGCTAATAGTATAGAATGGAGTCAGCAATTTATTCTGTCTAAAGACCCATTGGTAATGAACTTATATAGATGCTTCTCCACAAGGTTTTTTGTTGGTGTTTTATGGTCTTTCCTTTTTCCTAGGAAGGAAAATTTTTTTTGGTTTAAAATATTAACGATTGATGCTAGTAAACCCTCAGTTAATGAATTTGGAGAATATCATGTCCATGTAAAAGTAGTTATATTTTATTATAAAATTTCATATAAAAGTATATAACTTCATTAATTGCCAAAGGAATCAGATATTTTTTAGTCCTTTACCAAGAAAATTTTGTTATAGTTTCTTCAGTTTCAAATCTGGGTCATAAAATATTTTATAGTATTTGAGTGGGAAAATTAAACAAAATTAAAGATTTGAAATATTCAGTTTAAAAGTTTAAATTTGAAGGGTTTCTTCCTGTCAGGGATTCTTTTGCTTGGTGTTGTTTGCACTTTACTTTCTTTAGTGAAATGTTGTATTATGCATGTTGGATATAAACACGTGAAGTAAAAACAACAAAGAAAACAACAGGCAGGAGAGTCCCTTTTTACCCCGTGGTTGCCTTCTTACACGAGTCAAAGCACTTTGATTGGTTTGGTACATGCCTTTCTTGATCTTCATGGTGCCTTTACCTGTGCTGTGGGTACATTTCTTTGATTTGGCCTCACAGCTTTGAGCAGCCTGGACTGTAAGGTAAGTGCGTAGTCAGCGTGTGGTTCTGTGACCTGGCCACTCAGCCACAACCTACTGCCCTTCCTTGTAGTGATGCTTTCTCTAGCACAACAGGCCTGAGATGACTTAGCCATTTCTCTTTTCAACCTGTATGTTATTTCTGGTTTTTATTACTGCACCCAGCCCGGGATAAATTCTTAAAAGTGAGATTGCTGAAAGAAAGCCAGTGCTGCTTTCAAGTTCTGGTGCGGGCTGTACCAGATTGCCTTGGAGAAGGCAGCATTAACTACATGCAGCCAGTAGCTCGTCAAGCATCCATTTCCCCCCATCTTATTGATATTGGTTTCTTAATTTTTCTCAGTATCTTGAGTGAAAAAATATTACCTCATGGTTGTCTTTTGCTATTGCTAAGGAGGGTGATCACTTTTCATATTTAATAGGTATTTATATTTCTTCCTCTGTTGCTTGCCTATGTACGTAAATTGCCCAATTTCTATTGGATTGTTTATTTTTACGAGTTTTAAATGTATTGTGACTTAATATGTTGTTAATATTTTCTCAGAGTTGTTTGTCTTTTTTTCTTGTTTACTTTTGGCTGTACTTTGTTTTCATTTGTAGAAAATAATATCCTGTGCCAAATTCTGGTCCATTAGAGTTCTGTGCCAAGTTCTTTTGGTTGCAAATAACAGAAACTTACTCTTTTTAACACTAACCTAGAAACAAAAAGGGATTTATTGGAGAAGCATGAGATGGTAGCTCATTGGTAGAAAGGAAGCACTCAAGTACACTGGTTTTGAAAACAAACACTAAGAGTTGCTTGGGGATCTGGAGGTCTGGGGATCTTTGGAGTGAATGAACTCCCATTTTTCTTCCTTGCATTATTTCATCAAGATTGGAATCCCAGTAAAGGGTTTTGTTGGCTTCACGAGGGTTACCTGACCATCCCCAACCCCTTTGAGCTGGAGGAAGGGGAAACCTTGACCTTGATTGACAGTTATGTGAAGACTTTATACAAGGAAGGAAAAGATTTTCACTAAAGAGAAATTAGACTCTTATTATCAGAAGAAGAGGGAGTAGATTCAGGCAAGTAAAAACAACATATGTTTAAAAACTTAACAGTATTATCTTGGAATTAGCTTTGTAATATCTTTGGAATTAATTTTCATATAATGTGGGGTAGGTTATTATTTCATGTTTGTTGTTGCTTTCCAGATGTCTGGTTTGTTATCCTAATATCATTCATTAAATTCTTTCTCTTTTCTCCTCTGATTTTCCGTGCCATCTATTCATTTCTCTTCTTGTCTATTTGTGGACCCTGCATTTTGTACTGTTAACTTACTATCTGTCAGTAGGCCCGTACCATACTTTTGCTGAGCAAATCTTTGTTTTGCTTTTCAAGTTGTCCTGGCTTTTCTAGTGTATTTTCTCTTTTGGATAAATTCTAGAGCCAATGCTAACCAGATTTCATAAAACATTTTGTGTTGTGATTTAGGCTGGGGTTAAATTTATTTTCTAGAGCAATTATATATCTTGAGAATTGATATTTTTATAATCTTGAGTCTTCTTATTCTGTAATGTAGTATTCCCCTCCTGACTATTTATTCAGAATTTCTTTGAACCTCTCAATAAAAGTCTTTATTTTCTTGCATGTTCTGCATTGGTTTAGCCCCTGGACACATAATTTCTGTTGGTATTGGGAATCAAACATTTTTCATTACATTTTCTAATTTTGTTAATGCTATTGATTTTTATATATTTTGATTTTGTATCTAACTCCCTTGCTGAATTTTTTATTAGTTGTATGTTTTCCAGTTGATTTTGATGAATATATATGTTATATATATTCATAACACACAAAAGCATGCACATTAAAATTGATATATCATGCAGATAGACTTATCTTTTTATTTCCAGTTGTTATATCTCCCCTTGCCCTTCTTCTTATTACTCTAGATTGGACATGTAGAACAGTATTAAATAATAAACCTGGAAGTTCATCTTTGTCATTATTTCTGATTTGATGTGAATTTGTACAATGTATTTCTGTGTTAAATAGGATGTTTGCTCTAAGTCTTTAGAAAATGTCCTGTTATCAATTTAAGAATTTCTCTTTTTATTCCTAGCTCTTCCAGTTTTTCAAAAACTCAGAAATTGTAACTGGATTTTAATAAGTGCTTTTCTGTCTTCTGTTATGATGATCATATGATTTCTCTCCTTAATCTGTTTATATAATAAATAGCACTAATGGGTTTTCTAATATGAAGGTATACTCACATTTTTGGTATAAAACCATTCTGGTCACTGTATATTCTTTGGGATTCCCTGATATTTATGCATGTGTTTACTTCCTTCATGATTATTGCCACAGATGAAAGTACTCTGTACTATTTTCTATAAATATTCTTCTAAATATATATAATTTTTGTGATTATAATAAGCAGAAAAACTTTATCATTTGCCATAGATAGAAGGTCAAAAATAAATATGTAATTATTAAAATAGTTTTTGGTGTCTCTGTAAACACTAAAGTAATGTCCATACTACTGTGATGTGTGAAATAGTTTCTGAAGTGCTTTGTTCTTCTCATAGTGTTGGATTAATATGCTAATATATTACAAAAAGTTTTGAACTGTGTTCACATGTGAAGTGTCTGTAGCTTTATTTTTTATGGTGCCAAGACTGGCTTATACCAGTTTAATTTAACTTTTATCTTTTGTACACCAGACATTTTGAATAACATAGCATTGCCTGTTCATGCAGGTTTGGTAGACCTCTGAGGTAAAAAATGTCTTGTGTCTTTTTTGGGTGGTCAAACTTTGATGACCCTTTGTGTTTCCTCTGTAATTATTGTTTTACTTGTGGATTTTTACCTCCTCTTGAGTCAGTTTTGGAAATTCACATTTTTTAGACAATCAAGAATTTCACTTGGCATTTCATGCATCTTGGAATTTAGTAATATATAGTATTTTCTTATTTAAAAGGTCATTCTCTATGTTTCTTATGTTCTCCCTTTCTTTCTTCCTTGAGTTGGTTATTTGTGTTTGGTTGAAAAAGAACCAAAGGGGGCTGGGGAGGGAAACTTTCCAAGGAAAGTAAACAGATTGTCCCTTTTATTGTCCTTTTCAAAGGAGCAGATTTGGTTTCATCAGTCAAACTGGTTTATTTTCTGTTTGTTTTCTATTTCTGTGAATTGGATTCCCCCTTTTTTCCTTCCTTCTCCTCTCTCTCTTCCCCTGCCCCCCACCCCAGGGCTGGGAATTGAACCTGGGGTTTTGCATGTTTAGGCAAATGCTCAACCATTGAGCTAGATCTGCAGCTGTGTTTTCTATTTCATTGATTTATGCTCTTATTTGTATTCATTTGGAAACTTAATTTCTAGTTCTCTTGGTAGTTATGGGAGTGAAGTCTTGGTTAATTTATATTCAGTCTCTTATAAAGTTATCAAGTTTTCCTGAGGTGACAAGAGAACCACAAATCTTTTGATAATAGTACTCTATTTTCATTTACTTCTAAATTAGATAAAAGTTTAGTTTTTATTTTTTAATTAAAAAAATACTTAGAAGAATGCTTTTATATTTCTCAATGGGTAAATTTTTGTGTCTACCCTTTTATTTACATCTGTTTTCTTCAAGTGTGGACAGAGAATATAGCCAATTTTGGAGAACTTAAGAACTTAATATACAGTAAATTTTTGGAAATATTTCATAGATACTTGAAAACGGTACATTATGGCATAGCTTTTTAGTAAATCCATCAAATTTCACTGGCAAATTGTGCTATTCAGATTCTATAGACCTTACTTTTGCTGTTTCATGGACATGTGGTGTCTTGTTGTTTTTTCAATTCCCTAATGACAT